ATTATTCAGTTCCATGTATTCAGAACGTCATATCCTAACGGTATTCGTTCAAAAAATTGTTTCGGTAGGGCTCACCAAAATGAGCCACAGTAACATCGCCTACGGCAATTAAAAGCTACACCGCTACATGCTTACTGCCGATTCCAACTTAGCTTGTCCATTTTTTCAAAGTTAATACAGTATATACGAGCCTACGGCAGTACAATGCCCCAGAATCACCTACGGTATTCTCATCGCGCATAGACTACAAACCTATACGGTACCCTAGACTTGCCCATGGCATTTCTATGGACGAAAGGCTATTGGGACCTTGTCCCTACCGATACCTGCAATACTTGAGTTTCGACAAATGGGTACGAGCCAACGGCAGTACCGTGTTCTCATCACACAAACCACCGAAACCTAGTACGGTGCCCTAAACTTGCCCACAACATCTCTATGGACGAAAGGCTAATGGGGCCTTGTTCCTTTGGTTTTGTCTACCGATAGTGGAGACACTTGGGCTAAATCCAAAGCAAACAAATTCCGAAGTGGCCAACGGCCCAATTGGTAATTATCCTAAACACAGTTATTAGCCTACGGCAGTAACAAATATGGATAAAATTCAAGTAAAATAAACAAAAGTTAACTTAAATTTAAAAGACGCCATCGGCATCAATATGTTCAGACATTTTGCCAACGGCAATTAAAATACATAAAAAATTACAAAAAAAGACTCAGGCCTCGGCAGCACGATCTCCCTGGTCTTCGGTAGTCTCTACCACGGCATCGACGTTGGCATCAGGGGCACCCTCGGCGTCTTCAGGAGCATCCTCCCCCTCATACTCCTCGATCATCTCTTCTGTAAGGCCTTCCGGTAGAGGAGGGGGATCGGCAGCGAAGTTCAGGTTCAGCTTCTGGCCCGGGTTAAACCGCTTGAAACGGTAGATGAGGTCCGTCATCTCCGAAGCCACTTCATTACCCACCAGAGAGGTGAACTCAGAGGAGGAACGGTATCCACTGATGGCTTCGTTAACGGCAGCCTCTATCTCCGCTGCCTTCGACCGCTCGGACGCCTCCAGTGCCGTCGGCGCCGCCACCTTCGCTCCTTCGACATCCCTGGCAGCCTGCTCGGCGCCGTCCAGAGCCTCACGCATCTCGGCAAGCTTTGCCTCGTGCGCTTGAATCTGCCGTTCGGCAGCATGCATATCCTGCACCAGGTTAGCGTGGTCCTGGAGAGCTTTCGTGGCGTCGGCGACCTTGGAACGGCCTTCTTCGTAGAGCCGTTTCGCGCGTTCGGCAGCTGTGATGGCCCTCTTCATGCACAGCCACATGTCCATCGACGCCTGAAAAACGAAGCCACACGTTAGTACCGAACGAAAGGTAACAACAACAAAAAAAAACACAATGGGAGTCAGAAGTTTACCGTGGCCTGGAGACGGAAGGCGCGCCCCGCCTCTTCCCGAAGAGCCCTCTTCGGCAGCTCATCGACCTCAGACAGATCCATCTGCGAGCCCACGATCATGTGGTTCACAAACTGGACCGTCTTCGAGGGACAGGCCAGGGTGACTGCCTCGGTAGGGT